CTCTCCAAGGAGCAGAGAGGAGGGGGAGGGAGGAGGAGGAGCGAGAGGAGGAAGGAGTACAGAGATGAGAATATAGAAAGTAATTAATTACAGAATAATATTATGAAAAATATTAAGAAGTAAATAATTGGGAATAAACCAAAAAATATACAGGAGCAGAAGAATTTGGTGGGTGGTTGGTCTTGGAAGTGGAGATGGGATAGGCCAGTATGTATGTCCTTTGATCCCTGTAGTCCCCATGCTCTCTTCTTTCAGACTCACACTGTAGGAAGTCAGACACAGTGATAGCTGTGTTGTAATAAGGAAATGGAATGGTATCCACTCTCATCTTTTATAAGGACAAGACTGACTCCCCACATGCAAATGCATCTTCTAGTTGTAAGATAAATCCCATGCTGAGCTTTGGGAGCTCACATTTCTCTCACAGAAGACTGACATCTGAGAAAAGGGGGTGTAGCCTACAAGATGAGACTGTTGGGTCTTCTGTACCTGGTGACATCCCATGAGGGGATGTGACAACATGTGATTGACAGAATTGACTCTTCCTGTCTGCAGGTTTCCTGTCCCAGATCCAGCTTCAGGAGTCAGGACCTGGCCTGGTGAAGCCCTCACAGTCGCTGTCCCTCACTTGCTCTGTCACTGGTGAATCCATCACCAGTGCTTACTACTGGAGCTGGATCAGGCAGTTCCCAGGGAAGAAGCTGGAATGGATGGGGTACATAGATATTGGTGGTGGCACCAACTACAACCCATCCCTCACGAGCAGCACCAGGAACTCTTAAGTCTTCAGAGATGGAAAGTAAAACATATGGCTTTGCTTCCCACTCCCTAAGCACAGAGAGGACAGGTGTCTTTTCTCTCTCTGATTCTGAAATGTTGTCTTATTTAAAGTCATATTTGTTTGCTTCTCACTGTCTCTCGAGACTAAGTACATAGCAATATTTCTTGTCTTTTTGTTGTTTCTAGCACATAACAGCTGTGCCATCTCTCTGGTCTCAGGAATATATACTTTTATGAAAGCATCTTTTTGAAAGTAAGCTGACCTTGGCATTGCAGTCTTTGTCCCATTAAAATTTAACTCTATGTATGATTATCCATTCCTTCCACCCTCAGATACAACTATCTGCACATTATAGCACTTCTCAGACTATTGACATGGAGCAGTTGCTGCTATGCCTGAAGAATGTGTTACAGGCTAAAATGTGATCTACCCATCCCTGCACTTATATCACCCATCCCGTAATGTAGGGCAGGGATTTCCTGAGGTTAAGTGTGCACGACTGAGACACAAAGACTATTGTGAAGGTCTTACCCCCACTGAAAGTTGGAAAATTCTTACAAAGTACAAAATTCATATTGTGATTAAAGTATCATAGTAAACAAGTCCTGTTGGTTTACACTATAATTAATATTTTGCAAATGTGTCACAGAAGTATCAGGGATATTTATAGACTACTGGAAACACAGTTTGTATTTGGGACTTCAATTCCAGCATCAGTGTCATTAACAATAATTCCACTAGACATTTTTTCCTTATCTGAACCATGTGACATATCTTTCTGTGCCACAGACATGGGAGGAGACTTCAGTGTGAACTCAGACACACTGTCCCTTCAGAGGAGCTCAAAGAAAGCACAGCCCCTCAAGAGCTGCTGAGCCTACTTACAACACCTGGATGTCCTGATGTCTTATCAGTGTGCCCATGAGTTTCCAGACAAACAAGCCTATTTCAACTTCATTTTAGAAGATGGGGTTTTTCTTGCTGTTTAATAAAAATCCTATGGGCCCTTTGCTATATCTTACTCTGTGAGAATTACTATTTGTTTATTTTGTAATAAGCATATCATTATGACCCCATGGAGGAACTAAGATAGCCATCTGCCACTTGCTGTTAGGTCAAATACACATAAAACAAAAATCTCTATGTTTCTCCTCTCAGGTCTCTAACTTTCAGGCTTGGTGATGATGAGGTGTGGAATGGAGAAATTCCATGAATGAATTTTATTATCTCACATAGATGGGAAACAGAATGTCTACTGCTCCTAATGTGTTAACCCTATAATGGTGAACTGGAAAATAAATTTTTTACACAATGAATGTTGGAAGTTTGTGTGCTTGTAAAGATTGATTTAAATCCAATGTCCCATGTAATGATTCCCTTGAAGATGGTTCTTGTTCACCATCTTGTGCAATGTCTGAGTATCCAGTGTGGATATGGCAGGTGATGTCATCTAAGGTCTCTGTTCTATCTCCCTTACATTGGCAAAAGAGTGGCTTATCTCCGTTTTCTGCTGTTTTCTTGTTCACAATGCTTGCATGCTCACTCCTGTGATCTCTGATGCAGCTGAAAGTAGGAAACCTGAAATGTTTACCTGTGAGTTAGAGAAGGATCAACAGGAGAAGAGATGGTTGGTTGGTTCAGGGTTAAGGAGCACAGGTTTCAGCATCTGTAAAAGAAAAGAGAACCTACTGCCAGGCTGAGTCTTATCTGGATTCTTTCATAGTGACTGAACTATGGGAGGAGTTATGAAGAACTAACAGACTATAGAATACTAGATTAGTGAGATCAAGACAAACACAGATAATTGAGCATCACAGTGTGAAGGTTGAAACCATGCCTACTTCCGAATAACAGGGTGAGGTCAGCCAACATGTCTGCCAGTGACATATGATGACCACAGTGAACCTTCAGGTTAGGCACAATCTGGACACCAGGAGTCTGTGATTTCACTTTTCACTATCTCAAAGGTATATTGAAGAAAAGAGACAAATGCATGAGCAGTGTTTATTGAATGTGAAATGAGTTTGTTCTGACTTAGGAAACAAATCTTTAAGAAAGGTATGAATCCAATTGAAACAGACATGTAAGAAACAGTGTCTACTTACAGAATCAGGATTACCTCATTACGGTCAGTGAGAAGTGAATCTTAAACAGGCCAGGATGGAGGGGACACAGCAAGACGGATGCTGTGACAAGTTTACTGTGAGCAATCGGACTTCAATACTCTTATCAGAAGCAGAATAAAATGTCAGTTGCTATGATTAATACAATGATAGTGAGATTTTAAAGTTACACAGGGTAGTGTACGAAAGATTAATGTTTAAGAGTAATTGTCCTGTCAAGGTTCTTCATGGTTTGAAAAATTGTAGGGAACATAGAGAAATAAGGGTGGATTGAAAGCTTTGCTGACTGAGCAAGTGACTTGATTTATTAGGAACTGGAAAGCACAGACTGCCCCAGGAGCCAAGGATTCTAACCTGAAAAACCTCTGCCCTGTGCATTTCAAAGCAACTAGACAAGATCAACTCCATGATTCCCTGCAAAACATGATGGTCTAGCAAGAAAAAGATGCTTATTTTTCCTGGGCTGAGTGAATTGTCTTGCTGTAATTCTTTGGAGTGACTCTGTAGCACCAGTGGGTAGTGCTGGATATGGATCCATCTGCCCCCAGGAAAAACCAAGGCATTGTGAGGAATATTAGTAACAATAGGGTCCCAAATTAAAAGTCAATGTCCGGCACATGTGTTCAGTATCTCCAGGAAAACAGGAGCCATTTTTCACAGCAGCTGAGCTTTGTGTGGACTCATGGAGGATGGATGTGTTAATGATCAAGACAGACAGTGAAACTTGAGTGTAAATCAAGACATACGGACTTGCAGGGTCACTCAGTACCAGCAGGGGGCACAACGGAGTCACAAATCATCAGGACAGAAATGAGATGAGGACAGAAGGGGAGCCCATAATCTCTGTGGACTCCTTATAAAAGTTTGTTAGCTGAACAACACCTATTGCAGTTGATATGTGAACTCTCCAATGTTCAAACACAGAAAAACTCTTTGTTAAATATTGAACATGTTATTTTATTGTTTATTGCATTAAGATTTATTCATTTTAATAGTTTAAAAACATTTTTCATAAGATAGTTCAGATAAAGAATTCACTGCTTAATTTCTTCCTGATCTTTCCTACCTCCTTACTATTCAATACACAAAATTCATCTATAGAAAGCAAACAAATAGACACAAAACAAAGAAAAGGGTAAAAGGCATACACACACACACACAAAAAAAAAAACTCATTGCTGCATCGTGCTGGGAAAGCAAATATTAATTGTTTGTATGTTAAAGAATATTGCAAGTTTTCCTGTCTTGGAATTTTTTGAAATTTTCAGAACAATGATACCACCACCAGAAAACCAATTTTGTTCAAGAGGACAAATGTCTCAGGTTGGGATTCCATTTATAAATTGAGAGCCTAGGTCTTGGTGATTCTACAGTGTCTGCACAGGAAGAGCTATTCTGTCATACATGATGTGAATTTGGCACCAAGCATCCTGCTGTTTGAGCCAGTTGTTTTATATCTCCCTCTTCTCCAACTAGAGTAGGTCCTTATCTCTGAATAAATCTGCTCCATGAATATGCAAATCATGTCTGGCTATGGGGGTAAATACAGGGATGTCCACACCACCAACAATATGATCAGTGTCCGCTCCACAGTCACTGAGCACACAGGTCCTCACCATGGGCTGGAATTTGACAATTCTCTTTTTGGTGACAGCATCTACAGGTAAGGGCTCCAAGTTTCAGACTTGAGGAGAGGTCATACACTCAGGTGACAGTGATATCCACTCTACTTTTCTCTCCACGGGTGTCCACTCTCAGGTCCAGCTGCAGCAGTCTGGGGCTCAGCTGGTGAAGCCAGGGTTCACAGTGAAGGTGTCCTGCAAGGCTTCTGGATACAGCTTCACTGGTTACTATATGAGCTGGGTGAAACAAAAGCCTGGACAGGGCCTGGAGTGTATTGGAAGGATTGATCATGGAAACGGTGGTACTGGCTACATCAGAAGTTCCAGGGCAAGGCCAAACTGACTGTAGACACATCCTCCAGCACAGCCTACATGGAGCTCTTCAGCCTGACATCTCAGGACTCTGCTGTCTATTACTGTGTGAGAGACACAGTGTTGCAAACACATCCTGAGTTTGTCAGAAAACCTGGGGAGCAGGAAGCTGCCCCTGGACTGAGATGACAGAGAAGATTAGCCTGGGGACTTACATAGAAATATTCAATATGAATGTCCCTTTGACTGCCTCCTCCATATAGGACTACAGTGCTTTGTCAACTTTTCCAAAGCAAAGGATGTCTGAGAATTAAGTGATGCTGATTCTAAATGCCTCCTACAATGCACCATGCTTGATCACATCTTTATCAGTGACACCTCCACTGCCTGCTTCTTTAATGACACAAAAATAAAGACAAGTTGTATAGGTCCAATTGAATTCTTTTTCTTAGTAGTAATCATGTTTTTTTTGTCATTTTAGTGTTTACAGATGTAGCTGAAGGTCATGCTGTGGAGTCCTCAGGGTGTTGAATTTGCCACTTTGGGCTCCTGGTCAGATATCATTGGGTACAGAGCAGTGAGATTCCAAGCTGGGAATGTAAGAGGACTGTCCATGTCATCATGAGCCCTGCTTACTCATTCTCCTGCTTCCTGAAATTGGATTCTATAGGACAAAAAGTTCCAGTCTGACATTGATTGATATTGACTGGAAATCTATGTATGGTGCACAAAGACCACCCCCAAACACAATATTTCTGTTCTTAGAGGTAGCAAGGACCACTTAAGGCATCTATTGATCTTTGTTCTATTATAACTTTGACATGTCTGAATCCGATCATTTCTGCCTATGAATGCTTTTTATTTTGTTTTGTTTTTTACTAAGGAGAATGCACACACACCTTGAGTACACAAACACTGACTATCAGGAATGGAAATAATTCTGTTATGATATCCTAGTAACAATCTGACTCTTTATATTAAGACAACAATAGCAAGAACAACATCAAAGTGGTATTCTCTGGCTTAAACATTTTTAACTCATATAAAGTCAACAAGCTGTGTAAACCAAGCCCTGTTGCTAGCAAATCCAATTTCTTTCCCATCTGACCTAACTGTGTCCTCTCACACACATGAGCACCCTCAGGTAGATTGAGATGTCTGTTTTCCTGCCAGTTCCTGAAATTTATCTTCAAAGTTCATCATTATCCTTTGGAATTTTTCAAGCAGATCACATGATACTCAGAAAGTGTCTCCAGCACCCCAGGTAAAATTAAAAGAATTCCTTGTCTTACAAGGCCTAGTGCCTCTCCTGCTGTCCCCTGTACAAACAAGTGTCAATGTTGTCATGACATGACTTTTTAAATATAAATCACATCAACAAAAATATTGATAGTTTTATGAAAGTTGTGATTTTGTTAGATGTGAACTGGCTGGACTCATGCAAGGTTGTTAGGGCTGACTTCTGTGGGGACAGACTGGGTGTCTCAAGAATAAACAAAGCTTCCATCCTTCACAGAACTCCATCTTATGGCTGTCCTGACACACTCCAGTCACACAAGATTTCTAGGAAAACATTCCTGACCTGTACAGGATTGCTGAGAGAGTATAAATCTGTCTACAAACATTTCAGAGCAATCCATATAGGGGTTGAGAATAATCAATTGGAGACAATGTAATGTTAAAGTAAATACAGAGGGACACAGTCCAATCTTACATCAAGTTCATGTGATCAATACCATTGCTAAATGTTTGTCTCGAGACAGCAAAAAGGGAGAGCAAAGATAAATTAGTTATGCAGAGCCCGGGGAGTAAGTACAGAGGGGCCAGCAAGAGTGTTTACAGACTCTGCTCAGAGTTTATTCCTCTCATTAACCACATACAAGGCCCAGGAGACCATCTGTGATGGCAGTTAGAACCCTAGAATCTATGTCAGTTACTCCCTAGAATCTATGTCACTCTCCTGGGAATCCTACATTAAAGGAAAAGACACAATTCAAAAGTCCTGTCTATCAAGATGAAGACAGTTTATCTTGTAAGAAAATGAATTCCTCCATTGGAAAACTAGGACCTGACAACCTTGTCTCATGGCGACGTAATTCCAAGGTCCTTCATGCTGTGTCTCACCACAATCAGTATAGAGTGTTATGTATTGGAGAGGGCACAGTACTCATACGATGGAGGGACATCAGGTCAGGGTCTCAGAATGGGACTCTAGATTATTCTCTGCCTTTGTTATTCAGAAACATGGAAATTCACTGCTTTGAAAATGTTTAATAATATTGACCTGATGTGCAGAAGTGCTACAACCAACACAGCCCCTGCAAGACAAGCAATAAATACAAAGGGAGAGGTTCAAAATTTTAGAAGTTGTTTACCAAAAAATAATTGAACACAGAATTCATGTATCATCATTTTTCAATACTGGATATCACACTCTAGTCATTTTCCACGAGTCAACACTAAGCTACACATTTGAAAATGATTTCTTCAATAGGATATCTAGATTACACATTCATAAAACTTTTCTAATCCCTCTGAAATTATGAACATTGTATTATAATGGTTTCTCTGGAGCAAATAAGCCAGAATGCTGTCACTGTTGAAAAACTCAATAAGACATATACATCCTAAATAATCAGTAGTTTATTCTTTCTCTACAAGTACATTTCACATTTTTCTTTTGCTCTAGCCATTCATGTATCTAATACTTCCATGAGAATACTCATTATACAAAGCCAGATATGCAAAAAAGGCCTCCCTCTGATCATGAACACCAACCCAGTCCTGATCCTGTAGCCCCTGCTGAGGAACCCAGCCCTCGATTCCAAGGCCTTCCCATTCGGTGAAAGCACTGAACAAAACCTGCTTACCAATGAGTTGTGTGTGAAAGATTTCCTTGTGGTTATTATAATTTTTAGTTAAAATATTTTGAGAATTTCTTAATATGAGTGATATACGCATCAATATCTCCAATGAAATTATACCTATTTCAAAATCTCACTCACTTGCTTTCAAATTCATGACTTCAACTTTAATTAAAACTTTTACCTTTTTTTCTACATACACACCAAGTGTGTGTGTGTGTGTGTGTGTGTGTGTGTGTGTGTGTGCAGATTCAGCTATAGTTTTGTAAATATACAAGTGTTTAGAGCAGTAAACTTGGGATTTAAAAACTCATAAGTGAGCCTGTTCTTGAAGAAAACTGACTCTCAGCAGCCATTGTTTACCTTAGTTCTTCACTTAGGGATGGACCTGAGAGGTTTCCTCCAATACTACTAATGTCTAGTTTCTGCATCAATATTATGAAGATTCCATAGGTCCATGTTTGATGGCCTGTCTGGAAGACACCATCTCACAGTGGCATCCTGGTCCTTTACATCTTACAGTCTACCTGTCCCTTCTTCCTGGATTTCCGCTGGGCTTTAGGTGTAGGGTTTGTGTTGAAGATGTATCCAGTGTGGTTGGGCATTCCAGGGTCGCTTGTTCTCTGCATGTTTATCTGTTGTAGATCTGTGTATATTCTAAGTCTACAATTTAAATACTTTGATAAAGGTGAGAGGTTATGAGGATACATTCTTTAGAATAGAGATAGAAACTCTATTTGTGTGTCACTGGCGTGACTTCACTATAAGTCAAAGTGTTTGTTGCCAGGTTGTTGATTATATTTATGCTTTTGTATCACTCAGAGATCCTTTGTAGGACTAACCAACCAATCTGATTGTATTTCAGGTTGACTCCATAAGATTGAAACAATATCCAATAATTTAATAAAAGTTTTTTGATAGTTTTTCTGATATATGACTGTTTTATATGTGTGATTTTTGACAATTTAAATACACAGTTATATGTAATATACAAGTAAATGTTCCCAAAGACCTGAGACTATGTAGTCTCGGGATCTAAGGGAAAACAAATATACCATTCTGCTAAAGGATCAAAGCAATAAAATGACTCCTAATGAAGTCTGCTCTACTCATACATAGATCAGGGTCTTCCTCAACCAGAGAAGCTCCCTTCTGCAACAGCCAGGAACAAAAGCAGAGACCCACAACTCTAATGAATGCACAAAGTAAGAGACCTTGAAACACTCAGTCCTGGATGGAATATCTGCATCAAATCCCTCCCTGCAGCGATTAGGGAATCCTGCAGATGAGGCAGAAAGGCTATGAGAGGCACAGGAGATGGAGGGAACCAAGGACACTGGGCTTTCTAAGGAAATAAGGACTGAAACATGAAACCACACGGAGACTGCGGCATCATACATAGGGCCATATGGGACCCTAGTGCTGAGAGGGAAAGTGCAGATGACCCACCATCCCCAACCAGATGTTGTCTGTGTCTACTTCCTGCTGACACTGAGGCATCACTGCAGGTTTGGTCCAAATGAGACTGGAATTCTGGCTCAGTCCAGGAAGAGCAGGCTGTACATTATCTGACCACGCTCTGTGAAAACTTGTAGGGAGAGGGACATGTGAGCATCTCTTGAAGCAATGGGTGAGGCAGGACCACCTGGAGAAAGTCACTGTGAAGTTGACAGATTTTTGCTGATTTTGAGGGAAAACCTCCAACGGTTTTCCGTTGTGGCTGGATCAGTCTGCAGTTTACTTGAAATTTGATGGGAGTGATATAATAAGGAGTGAAGGTAAAATAAGGAGTTGGTGGGGAGAGAAGTACACGCTCAGGATTAGGGGCAATGATCAGGTGAGAAACAGGTAGCTGATTGACAGCACTTATCAAAAATCCTTTTGCCCTGTGAGGGGTGGATCCAAGTTGGTACCCTGAGGCTTAGAAGATTGTAAATGGAGTTCTTAATTGATCTAGGTAATAAAAACCTGTAATTAGATATAGAGGAAAATGCTGAGATCAGAGAGAAGGAGCAAGGTAAAGCCACACCTTATCTCACTAGTATCCCAGCAGACAAGAGAGCAAGTTCCTGTTTCTCTCTACTTACATCCTGTTTCTGCCCAGCTATCTCAGTCTATCTGTACAGACCTCCAGAAGACCTCTATGGTTAGCTAGTGGCAAGTGCCATTTTCAGACCCTCAGACAGGCTTTATTTGTACACACAGGATAGCACCACGGAATTTAATTTTATAAATTAGACAAAAGTTTTAGATATACTGGCTGTGATAATTTTAAAGTAATTGACTCCCATAATGTCACAGGACACTACTAGGAGGTCTGGCTTT